ATTTTAACAAGTGCTCGTGTAATACACGGACGTTGTACTAGTTTATGAATAATCCAGACCTAATTATTTTTGGATTAGAAGTAAATTAAAATCTACCAAGTCTAATAACGAAGCATGTAATTTTGCCTCATAAGATCTCGAAACATGCAAGTCAGCCACTTAGGCTCGGCAAGTTCTAAATTATTATATAGGGGAATAGAGATCCATCTTTCCTTTTTCTGTTTATCACATGTAATTAATGCAATTGGATTTATTTAATGAGGCTATGTTTGCCTTAATTGGTGGTTAAATTTTTTTTGGAAGTCTATGTTTGAATATCAACCGAAGACTTACACGAGTTACTATTTGTATCTACTTAAGTCAACCATTGTAAGTAATTTATTTAATGAATAAAATGTACGTAAACGACCAGGAAGTTTTTTTTTTTTGGTACAAAGTTTCTTTTTATTTTTTTTTTTTTGTACAAAGTTTCTTATTAAACTATTGCACTCTAATTTTGACCAACCGTCCACCTATAATTCCAACATCTTATTATTAAGATATTTTTCGTGTTCATATTATAACAATCACGGGACAGCTCATTAGAATAATTGAACGTTTGCTACATATATTAAGAAAATTATTAATATTTTTATCTATTCTAATTTTATCTCCTTTATTTCATCACAAGAAAATCGATAAAACTTCTGTTGTAGAACCATATGATCCAACAAAATATTACAAACATCGGCTCAAATTACTTAGCGAATAGTCGATTAAATTAGCTAGTTCAATTTTTGATGTTTTGATCAATTGGTTATGATGAATATTTAGAGCACATTTGGATTCCAATATAGGATTTAACTATTTTTATCACTTGTGGCCGGATAGCACTGTTAAGGTAAAAGTGTTCCAATGTTTGTATTTGCATGATTTGTGCTTGATTAAGAATGGATAAAAATATAACATACATTTATTTGGCATGATAATAAGTTAGATGAAAGTGTAGATTGACTAAAGTGACCTTGTAGTTCTTCAACCATCTATGTCATTCTTCCATTTTTTCCATCCTTTTCCCTTCTCGTTTGCATCTCTGGCATCGACCCTAAATTGGATACAAACCTCTGACATCGACCCTAAATTGGATTTTAGACCGTCGACCATCTTCCGATAATTCGATGGCAATTCACGACTAGGGCCTTCTTTACAAGCTTTTCGAAAAAATAATCCCGTTCGGGTGAGTCGTATTTAAGGCGGTTGGTAAATTATATTTTGCCCTACCAATTTCACAGGTCTGAAAGATTTTTCCGCACTCGTCGGGCTAGTAATGTGTTACTGTTGGATTTTTCTATGGTCTTTTCTGTTCCAATTGAGTAGTATCATAATTTAGATTTTGAAAACAATACGGAGTAGTTTGGGGGCGAATTGTGCTGAAATTGTTGGGCACCTACGCAAGCAGATCCGACAATTTAGTGCAGAATATCGCAACAACAACCAATGCTTCGAAATAGATCTGCTAAAAAAAAAATGGAATGCAATGTTGTGTTTAGGGTTAGGATTTTAAAACATATGAACGGAACAATTTATCGCGGGTCGGACGTTTAATTGAGGACCAAATCATTCCAACCAAACACATAATTATCCAAGATAAAATGTGCTAATCCTATCTAATCCCCAACCAAATGTGCTCTTAGTAGATAAATAGTTGCTTGATATGTAAAAAGGACTAGATTTACATTCATCTACTTCAAAAAGCTCACACATTTAAACAAAAAAAAAAAAATGATTTATTCAAAAAAATTATTTCAAATCACTGCTTACCAAATATTTAAAATTGAAATTTCGACTGGTGTAACTCCTAATTCGTCACACAAAAATTCTATGGAGTCATTGAATATTTTTTTATGGAGCCATTCACCATTTAATGTGTTGACAACAGTCCAAATTGTATTTATTGTAGAACACGTGTCAATACACTATTGGTGAATAAATGTGGATGACTCCATAAATCGGCCGATGTCTTCGTAGCAAAACTGACCAGTAAAGTGCCCATGAGATGCACGGGGCTTTATTATTTCTTTCCTTTTTAAAAGACAATTGTATATTCAAATTAAAATTGTATAATAAAGGAGCGATCATGACATTATTAAATATAATGAAAATGAAATATCTATATTATTGAACACTTCTTTATATACACAATTATTAGATACAATGATAGAAAAATATATGAATATATAATGCTAAGACTCTAAATCCATAATTGAGAAGACGATCATTTGGGTTGGAACTCCTTTGACAGTCTTCATTTGAACATATAGGTTGTATGAAAACAACCAATCCAATAATATTTACAAAAATATAAGACAATTCATCATATTAAAATATCATAATCGACTTTATTATTGGTTTTAGTAAATGTATAAAATTTTAAAATACGTAATAAGTAAAAAATTAGAACGTACCAAACAATATGACTTCATCAACATTTCAACATCCATTAAGTTTGTAAAGTTCCTAAAGTTGGAAAGGATACATAGTGAAATCACCCCTTCACTTGTGAATCTTGATTTGGCCGTTTATAATGATCCTCCAACTGTATCGTCGATTTGTAGATGCCGATATTGTTTTCATTTAGTATATTTTCAATATATAAGCGCCACATTCTTTAATTTCGCCGATGAATTTTTGAATATTGACGGGTCGAATTATGTTAGTAATTCGTTCTCTCTAAGATAGCATATTCATTAATTCAATAAACAATTAATAAATAATGTAGCGTAAAACGAAGAATATAAATAATAATGTAAGAACAAATTACCTTAGAATCGTGAAAGATAATATCAAGGATGTTTCGATAATTGCGCTCGTCTTCAACTCGTTGGAACATTCTAATGATGCGTATCTCGGTAATTGGCCTATAAGTTCTTTTGATATCTTTGATTTTTCCAAAAAACCAAAGTCATTTTGAATGATGATGGAAAAGTTGATTCAAAAAATTGTTACGTGGGATGTATTATTTTATGTCGAATTTTTGTTCAATGTTGGTGTGTTTATATAGTGATTATGTATGTGTCATCTACCTGTAAGGTCGAATTTAATATATATATATATATATATTGAAAATTGAATTTTTAAATATTTGGCAATTTGATAAAGGTTTCACATTAAATTGATTCAATTTTATTTTTAAAATTAATTAGATAATGATTAGCACAAAGTTGAGAATCTAACAGATATTGTTAGAAAATGAAAAAAAAAAAGATAGAAAATCTAAATTGATTTGAGTTCTCATTAGCTAAAATCTCTAGATTTTTATGGGATACCAATTGATTACTCGAAAGAGTTGTATTGGGTGTATAACTATTAGTTGGAAAAAATCTTAGCATATAGGCACAAAATATACATTCCAACATTAATTGATTGGTTTGATTTTTTAAAAAGCAAAAATGTCAAATTTTGAAAATTAACACGGATTTTGTTAGGAAATTTAAAGAGGATAATTTTATATAAGATAATTATTTGTTGACATTTTTTAATGTGTATCAAAATTTACTTGAAAGTGTTGTAATGGAAGTGTATCACTATTACTTGACATAAATGAATGACCAAATTTTAAATGATTTGCATTCAGATTTTAAGTTGATTTGAATTTATTTTCTTAAATACTTTGATTATGATTGATGTCAACAAAATATTTATCCAATTTTATTAAAAAATGGATAATGAAACATGTTGTATATTGTGTTCGAAATACTAAAAGCTTGAAATTATGTTATGTTATTTTTAAACATCAATAAGATAATAAATTAGTTAAAAAAAAGAAAAAAAAAGGATTCAAAATATGCGTGAGGATGACATATGTGATTGAAAATTATTTCACCCACATCAACTTGACTTTGTTTTTACCAAAAATAATGAATATTATCATCAAATAAGGTAAGACTTTTGGATTAATTGAAAAATCAAATTTTCAAAAGCATTAATCAAGGCTATTTTTACAAAAAAAAATATCAATTTGCTTACTAAAGATAATGATTTGAAAAGATGTATATAAGGTTTTTGAAAACTTACGCATTAATCAAGACAATTTTTTACAAAATATTATCAATTTGATTACTAAATATAAGGATTTAAAAAGATGTATGTAAGATTTTTTAAAACTAGATAATTATCAAAGTAGTTAAAATAAAAATCAAAAAATCCGAACAGATAAGATTGTTACAAAAAAAAGGCTAAAAAATTCAAATTTATTATCCATAAAATAGGATTCATATTTTGTTACTAAAGATTCAAATTTGTTTTTTTAATTTTCCATTAATAATAAGTCAAACATTATATTTATTTGGTCAAACTTTCTATTAAAGTATCTTTTTCCAACAATATTTTTATATAGAATATAGATTGATCACACAACCTCTCATATAACCTCAAAACGTTGTTTTTACCAAGCAAGATCTCAAGTAGAAAAATGGCGTCCCAAACTTCACACACACCCACAGTCAACCCTCATGTGCTCACTAGAAAAATGGTGAAAACGCACAGAAGAGCAGAAACTTTCGAATATCACACACACACACACACAGTGACCCCACATACACCGAAACCTCGACACGTTTTCCTCAAGTCCACGCCATTTGAGCAAAACAAAGGAATAGCATCACCTACAACACAACTACCATGATTATGATATGAAACCGAAGACTTTTTGGGCTTTCCCCAAATTATTCCCCCTTTTCTTTTTTCGATTAATTTAATTAAAAATTAGTATTTTTGTGACGATGATTCTGTGATGATAATCGGGTCGTCGTCTTCCTCCTCTATCTGTATTTGACTTGGCTTATTAGATTACTCGGCAGGTACAACTCCCTTTATTCTCTTATTCCACACGCATTTACACACACACACACACATACGCGCACGCAAGTACATAAGAGCTAAGGGGGCGCGTATCCCAGTTGAGGGTTTTTCGTTTTTCACTATAAAAATTTGATCTTTACTGTTTTTCGATTCAATTAAGGATGTGTTGGTTTAAGAAATCAGTTGTTGAGGTTGTTTTGTTGCTGATTGTGGTTGGGTGCTGGGTTAACGTTGATGTCTGCGAAGCCTTTGGGACGTTCGGGTTCGACATCCACCATAGGTATTCGGACAGGGTGAAGGAGTTCTTGGACGTTGATGGGTTGCCGGAGAAAGGCAGCCTCGGCTACTACGCCGCCATGGCCCACCGTGACCAGCTCTTCAAGGCCCGCCGGCTGACCACCGCCAACTCAACCGCCATCCTCACTTTCTACGGCGGCAACCAGACTTTCCGCATCGCCTCTCTTGGATTGTGCGTTTTTTACTTTCCTCACTCTGTAGTTCATTTTGTGATGGGATTATTTATTTATTTATTTTATGTTGATTTTGTTGTGAATAATATGAGTTTCGAATTTTATCTTGATTGAAAAAAGTAACGTGTTTTTTTTTAATTTACTTTTTTTTTAATTGAAAAGGCATTTGTTAGCACCTTTTAGTTTACTGTTGAAGAGAATCGGATAGTTACATGACTTTCAATTGTGTGTCTTCTGGTGAAGTCTTCTGCTATGTATATACGAGTGTTTATAGGGTCGAATATTGTTCAATATGGTAATTATTTGCTCCATAAGTTCATGTAGATAAAAAAGCAAGGTTTTAGAAAGCTTGATGCTTAATGACGTGAGAACGTGAAGCATCGAGCATCACAAGCTTCAATGAATGCTCAACTTCTGTTTCGATCAGTGAAGATTATTATGAACTTTGTGGCATAACACTAACTGAGGGAACTTCCTGTAAAAATGGTGTTTTTTTGTCTTTCTCTAGAGTTGTTAAAATGGTCTACTTAATATCTCAAAGAAACAGAAAAAAAAAAAAGAAAACGTAAAAATTCGGCAACTTAGAGTCGAATGCATGCATGGTTTGCTGTGGGTTGTTCGAATTCCGGCAGTGCTTGACGGAGATTTCTTTTAAGTAGCTTTAATCCTTTCTTGTAACTTTTACTCCTTACTGAGTTGGATTATTTAGTTCTTTATTTTGGGTTAAATACGAGTTATGACCTACCTTTTGAAAAAACGAGCTAAATAAAATCATGTGACTTCCAATGTTTTCAAAATGTAAGCACCGCTGGCATTCGAAAGAAGTCAAAAAGGCTGATGGATTTGGAATAAAGTCAATGCCACCGGTGAAATTAGAATGTGTGCACACACTATATGCAAGTGTTCGTGAAAAATCGAAATCATAATCCCATATTGAATGATATTTCAAATAGTAACAAGAAAAGTTATTTAAAAGAAATTTTGGTATTATTATATTCATCTATGTGGCAAATCAATTGCAAACGACTACTTTCTAATACATTAAAATCACATCGAAAGGTTGCATTTGCAGATCATAACTTTTATGTCCATATAGCAACGAAAGTCAATCAGAGTTATTTCTTTTCCAATGCCTTTACTCTAGAAAAATGTTATCATTTTCTTTTTTGGGGGTATTTGCAGCTTGCATTATGCAGTTGTTGCTGTGGGTACCCCACCCTTAACATATCTTGTGGCACTCGACACGGGCAGTGATCTATTTTGGTTACCATGCGATTGCACAAACTGCGCGCGTAGCCTGAACTCGTCGAATTCAAGGGCGGTATGTCAGTTATTACAATAAATGAAGTACGACAAAAAAAAAAAGTCTTAAATATCATGCGACTCGGCTGTTAATCTGTTTTTTTGTTGTGTGCCAAAAATTCTTATTTTCTAATTTAAGATTTTGAATGGGAACAGGGGATAGATTTAAACATTTACAGCCCGAGTAATTCTTCGAGTAGCAACCCGGTTCCATGCAATAGCACAATTTGTGAAAGGAGAAGGAGAAGAGGATGTTCAACGAGCCGAAATGCGTGTTCTTACCAAGAAATATACCTCTCGAACAACACATCAACAGCAGGGATACTGGTAGATGATATTTTGCATTTGGGCACTGATTCTTCTCAACAAAACATCGTTGAAGCTCCTATTACGTTAGGGTGAGTTGCTACTTCTCTCTCCTTTTTTTTTGTTTTTGGAGAGAAACTCATTTTGTTGAATTTTTTGCAATTATTAGGAAGACATGTTTTAAACATACTCGAAGCCTTTATAGGATTGTAGGAACATGTTTGGCGAGAAATACTTTCGCAATGTGGAATATAACTCATAGTCTAGTCAAAATAGCTAAACAAACCTGTCTCTTTTTTTTTTTTTTTTAAAAAAAAGGCTAAAAGTATTTTTCTGGAAAGATTAATGGCCAAAACTGCTGTCAAATAAATTTTAGAAATTATTCTGGGGATAAATTCATGTTACATGTTGCCCTCATTATTTTTTTTTTCTTTTAATATAATTCATTTGCAATGCGTATGCTTTCTCATTTCAGGTGTGGAATAACTCAAACAGGTGATTTCTTGGAAAGATTAATGGCCAAAAATGCTGTCATATAAAATTTTAGAAACTATTCTGGCAAAATTCGTATTTCTTGTTGCCCTCATTATTTTTAATATAATTCATCTGCAACTCGTATGCTTTTTTCTCATTTCAGGTGCGGAATAACTCAAACAGGTGATTTCTTGGATGGTGCTGCTGTTAATGGTCTGTTTGGACTTGGTATGGACAGTATATCTGTCCCGAGCATCTTAGCCAGTCAAGGACTCGCAGCAAATTCTTTCTCAATGTGCTTTGGGCCCGATGGAATAGGAAGGATTAATTTTGGTGATAAAGGGAGTCCAGACCAGAGAGTAACTTCATTTAATCTTGGACAACCAAAGTAAAGAACAATTTTTTTTTTTGGGGTAAAATGTTTATCCTTATTTTCTCATAATTCAATGTTTGATCTTTTCCGGGTTTTGTGGCAGCCCGACTTATAATATAACCGTGACACAAATTGCCGTGGAGAATAATGTCACGGATCTTGAATTCACAGCTGTCTTTGACTCGGGAACTTCGTTTACGTACTTGAACAACCCAGCTTACTCTGTTATTGCGGAAAGTGTAAGTTATAATCATATTATTACCATTGTTGATCTCGAAAGTAATGACTAATTTCATGAACTTTCGAATTGTTTGAGTTATTTTATCATAGGATACAAATTCAAGTAGATATGTTTGAAATAACAATGTCCAATGTGAATCTTAAGGAATAGGAGATTATATCATAAGATACAATTTAATTTCAAGTAGATATGTATGAAATAACAATGTTCAATGTGAATCTAGAGGAATAGATGATTATATCATAGCATACAATTTCAATAACATACAATTTCAAGAAGATATTTCTTATTGAAATAACAATGTTGAAGGTGAATCTTAAGGAATAGGAGATTATATCATGAGATACAATTTCATGTAGTTATGTTGAAATAATGATGTTGTGAAGTTTCTAGAAAAAAAAATATATCAAACGACGCAATGCACCTTGAGTCGCTATGGAAATAGCCTCCTTGTATAATTACAAGGGTAAGGTCTGCGTACAACTGACCCCCCAGACCCCAACCAGTTGGGAATATACTGGGTATGTTGATGATGTTGATGATGTTGAAATAATAATGTTGTGGAGTTCTTTCATCGTTTGCAGTTTAGTTCTCAAGTAACTGAGCCGCGTTATCAACCTACGAGCGACATTATCTTTGACTATTGCTATTCGCTCAGGTCGGTTTTATTTGGCAACAGACTTAATTATGGTATCCCAATCATGAATCGAAATTGCCTTATTTATTTATATTTTTTAAAATAAATTCCATGCAGTTCAACACAAGAAAGCTATAACATTCCAAGCTTGAACTTGACAATGAGAGGTGGAAGCCAATTTTCTGCTCTTGCGCCAACTATTGTTATTCCCCGACAGGTGAGACAAATTTCATTAAGATCCATTTGCGAAAATTCCATCTGGAAAATGGGCTAAGAAAAATACCGTTAATTTGCAGGGAGGGTATGCATATTGTTTGGCTATCGTCAGAAGTGAGGATATTAACATCATTGGCCGTGAGTTATCAATATCATTAAAAGATTTCCTTGCTCTTATTTGATATAAAAAATCTTAGTTTAAGCTATTTTCTTAAGACGTACGATGGATCTGAGATATTTATGTAAAAGAAAATATAAAAGTGCTACTACAGTATTTCGCATGGATACCTAAATAAAGTAACACACGGTCCTCTAACGATGGTAACTATGTTTGAAAATTGTTAGGTAATATATCTACAATATCTCAACATAATCTGCAATGTTCAATCATATTAATTGCATCGAACCATGACATCATCAACTTGCAACTTTTTATGCATTAATTCTATTTTTTTTTTTCAGAAAACTTTATGACCGGCTACCGTATGGTCTTTGATCGTGAGGAGATGGTATTGGGTTGGACAGAATCTGACTGTAAGTTGCAATTTTCATATATATATATTTTATTTCTTTCCAATTCGTTTTTTCTTTAGATTGGATTGTTGTAAACCGTACCACCTTTGGATCTATTCCTTCGGACAAAAAGGGGTCTCGTGCACATTTTACTCGCACAACAATACTATTCAAGCAACATTTCATATAACCAAAATTGCATTATTGGTGCTGCTAGTTTAACGTCATTACAATCTTAGTCCCAAGGTTCCAAAATTGCATTATTGGTGCTGCTAGTTTAACGTCATAACAATTTTAGTCCCAAGGTTCCAACACGCTTTTTGCTGCAATTTCAGTCCTTTGAGGACTTAAATTGCAAAAAATTTCCAAATTCCCAAATATTCGATTAGCAATAATATAAAATCTTTATTGCAATTTCAGTCCTGTAATTTAAAATTTTGTTGCAATTTCAGTCCATCAAAGTATTTGTGCTCGACTGTTTCGGAATTATATTCCGAATTATATAGCTCGACTATTTCAGTCAAAGTATTTGCAATATCAGTCTTCAAAAGATGAGTTAAAGAACATAATCACTGTTTCGGAATTATATGGTTCGCCTTTAAAAGTATGAAGAATGCTTGCTTGAAAATGTACGGATGACCATTGCATGTAAAAATTTACGTTAGATCGTTATACCGTCTTACAGTGTACTTACTTTTTCCATCACAATGCAACTAATCTCCCAAAATGTTTCGTTTTTCTCCTAGGCTATGATTCGGTCTCGTCAAACACTCTACCGGTAAACAATACCAATAACCCGACTAGTGCCCCTTCGCCTTCCGCCTTGGAACCAGAAGCCACGCCTGCAAACCGAAGCCAATCACCTGTCCCGAGCATTTCACGGCGGCCAGCTCAGCCTCTGCCGCCACCATCACCGCCTGCCACATCACTTCCCGGTGGTGGTGCCGCCGCCCGTTTGAATGGCTCCGTGAAAATCGTACTTTCGATTTGTGTCTACATCCTCATTTTCCTCTGTTCATAATTTTTTCTTTTTAACATTAACATTTGCCTGGATTCGAGTCATCGGTTCAAAAATTAATTAGCAGAGGCTTTATTATTAAGTTATTGTTTTGATTTTTGGTTATCTTTTTCTAGTTTATATATGTTCAATATACATACATAGAAATTATATATGTACATGTGCATATGATTGAACTTGAATATTTTAGTTGAGCAGCTTTTGTATTGAGGATGTTTATAATTGATATAGTAGCATTTTTGGAGCATTTTCTAGTGCTCTTTTGTACATAAACATTTTTAATTATATAGTTAAAATTGTTCTTATGAATATGTTAATCTTAATTCGAACAATTATATTAAGATATTGAAATTAAAATTAAAAATTCATATAGAAATGATTTGGGTAATTTATATATTTATTAATAAAAAAATAGTAAGTGGACAAAAAACAAAAAGAAAAAGGCGGAGTGGACCAAAATCAAAAACACGTATTCACTAAATACGTTTTCT